AAACAGCAAGTAAATACACAATACCGTGTAGAGTAATATAAAGTAAAATAAATAAAGTTGGACTGAAGAGGACACGTGAAAGGGTCGAACCTTGTTTCCTTATAAACTTTTTGTTCCGACAACAGTGGAGGTTTACTTTATTTTATTCTATACTACGTGACATCTTTATGGAATGCTTTGAAAGTGAATTACTCCCATCAACTGTCATTAACGACATATAGAAATCCATGGTTGCGTTACTTAAATGATATCTCCCCTTTCTTTCTCGCATCTTTCCAGATCACTAAATCCCCAACTTACTTATCTCGTTGTTTGCTTGTCCGTCTATTTAGATGTACGATTGTAAAATAAATAGAAATGTGTAACTGAATGTTGACCTGTCTAGTGATTCGCCACTGTGACCTGGAATTATTTATGTGTAACTGAATGTTGACCTGTCTAGTGATTCGCCACTGTGACCTGGAATTATTTATGTGTAATTGAATGTTGACCTGTCTAGTGATTCGCCACTGTGACCTGGAATTATTTAATGGTGTTTATTTAATTCTGGGCAAATATTTAAAACTATTGTTAATCCATAGTTTAGTTCTGGGACAACTATTTAAAATTATGTGTAAACCACATTTTATTTCTGGGACAAGTATTTGGAACTATTGGTAAAGCATAGGTTAATTCTGGAACAAGCATTTAGAACTATTGGTAGTCCATAGTTTAATCCTGGGATAAGTATTTAAAACTATTGTTAAACCATAGTTTATTTTTGGGACAACTATTTAAAACTATGGATAAACCATAGTTTATTTCTGGGACAAGTATTTGGAACTATTGGTAAAGCATAGTTTAATTCTGGAACAAGTATTTAGGACTATTGATAGTCCATAGTTTAATTCTGGAACAAGCATTTAGAGCTATTAGTAGTCCATAGTTTAATTCTGGGACAAGCATTTAGAACTATTGGTAGTCCATAGTTTAATTCTGGGACAAGTAGTTAAAACTATTGTTAATCCATAGTTTAGTTCTGGGTAAAGTATTTAGAACTAATGGTAAACCATAGTTTAATTCTGGTACAAATATTTGGAGGTATGTATAAATAATAGATTTAAAATACTTAGGACTATGGGTAAACCATAGTTGAATTCTGTGTTTAATACTAAAAAAAGTCGTTAATTACTCCCGTCACCGCACTTCGTTATAAGAGGGGCAGTTAAATCCTACTATTCGGTTAGAATAGCCCCAGAGTTGGCGGTCTATGCTTTTGATGACAACTTGCCTTCTTCTAGTCCCTCAGTTTAAAATTAGTAACTTCTAGCGCAAATAGCCCTTGTTTGAGCTTAAAAGCAATGTAATGTTCGGTTAGAAGAGCCCCAGAGTTGGCGGTATGTGCTTTTGATGACAAATTGCTTTCTTCTAGTCCCTCAGTTCAAAATTATTAACTGCTAGCGCAAACAGCCCTTGTGTGAGCTTTTTGCGAGTATTCGAAATAAATAAATAATTATTTGATAAAGATAGATAACTGATCGTAAGATCGAATGCGTTTCTTTTCACATAAATATCTTTTATCTTTCCGTTTTAATTATCCATTCGTTGGTTTCGTTGAGATAATAACTGATCATAAGATATAATGTATTTATTTTTGTCACATAAAATTCTCTTGTTTGCCTGTCTATATATACAAAGCACAAAAATCTGTGTGTCTATCTGTTTGTCCTTTATCTAACTGCTTCTAGGTCGCTGGGCCAATCTCCATATAACTTTGTGGGATGATAGGTTGGGACAAGGGGCATGTTAATGGAGGGTTCACAACTCTTCCACCCCATTATTACTGTTATTGAGCATTTTGTTTTTATCTTTGACGATAGTTCATGATAACTATATTCATAGATGAGCCACGTCTTTACATCAAAAAGAAAAACACAACATACACACAGAGGGAGGGTAACATAAACGTCTTATATATTTCAGATAGCGCGCTCGCACTCTCTATGGAGGAAGGCAATGAAAAAGTATGGCCGCCACTATTGCAATATTACGTGAACGATGATGAAGTTTCTACTCTAACAGCCACCATAAGGCTGATGTGAAGAGCCGTTTCTTGAGCGTTTCTCACTTCTTACTTCGTCAATAATTAATCACGTGAAACACCGTGGAAGGACGTTAAGGAAGTGAGTGTTGAAAGTGGGTTACAGAAAGCATCCCTACCGCCGTTATCACTTCATACAAAGTCACCCTGACCATCGCACAGGCCCGGCATGGCCAGGTGGTTAGGGAGCTCGACACGCAATCTGACGGTCGCGAGTTCGAATCCCCGTCACATCAAACATGCTCGCCCCTTTCAGCCGTGGGGGGTCACATTATAACGGGTAAATTCACTATTCGTTGGCTTTTTTTAGCCCAAGAGTTGGTGGTGGGTGGTGATGACTAGCTGCCTTCCCTCTAGTCTTACACTGCTAAATTAGGGACGGCTAGCGCAGATAGCCCTCGTGTAGCTTTGCGCGAAATTCAAAAACAAAACACGACTTATAGTAAAGCAAATACCTTGTGAACACTTATTAGAAATATTGTATTATTTTAGCTGTGTTTTTGGTTTTAGAATTATGTAAAATTTATTTAAACAATAAGATTTTATCACCAGACTTGAACCATATATGTACTGGATAAACAATGAAAAGGAGGAATGAACCTTGATAAATGAAAACACGAACAACATAAAGCAGAAACTTGTCGAACCTACAAGAAATGATAAAAAGCAGAAAGTAAAACGTATATAAAAAAAACAATTCACGAATAGCGTGGTAAATCTGGAATTACTAAAGAAATAGCTTAAAGTCTTCAAATAACAAAAGTAGAACGTTTGTTGCAGAAATCAGAATAGCGAACAAACGAAGTACAGCGGGTAGCGATAAACGTATAGTTGAAAATATTAAATGGAAAATAACGAAAATCATGGAGAGGAAACGTGGAAAAGCTAACCGGAAGAATTTTGAATAAAGAACAACGAATAGTGATTATAAGAATAACTTGCACGTGCGTTTCAATAAACGTCATATAGCGGGTGGCACGTTGCTTAACCGTTTGGTTCAGGAAAATTCCTTGCTACCATCTTCAACATTGATATGTTTCCAGACTTATGGCACAGCCCTTGACACGAAGAATATTCGTATATCGAAATTTTTAAAGGATATAGAGTCAATGAAGACATGTAGAAAAAATATCTTCAATAATCTGCACTCACAACAGGGCGTTTCGCGAAAACAATCACAACAGGGCGTTTCGCGAAAACAATCACAACAGGGCGTTTCGCAAAAAACACTCACAACAGGGCGTTTCGCGAAAACACTCACATCAGGGCGTTTCGCGAAAACCACTCACAAACAGGGCGTTTCGCAAAAACACTCACAACAGGGCGTTTCGCGAAAACACTCACATCAGGGCGTTTCGCGAAAACCACTC